AGTAATCAGCGTTTTAAGCAACTTGCGTGTTTACTTGACTTGTCTTACTAACATAATTGTGACTTTAGCAGCGAAGTACACGCCTCCTTAGTGATATCTGGATATTGCTTATTCGCACATGTTAATATGAGAATATGGGAATATACTCCCTCATCCGTATTTAGGCAAAATTAAAGGACAACATGCAAATAAGAAAACAATAACAATATACAAATTAAATATGAGCAAAGTCAAATATATGGATCTAATATAACGGCTTATGGGACGGTCATATAATACCCATAGTGACTAGTGAGCATTTGGTATGAAGTAAACTAATTATTTTGCATGCCAAACGTAGAAATGTGAAATGATTACATTGGTTTGATTGTTTAATGTAATTAAATTGTAGCACACTTTTTGAAAACATCTCACGTTGTGTCACGTAAACTCGTAAAATATTTTATGTGGGAGGAAGGTGATAAAATATTTTGCATACTTTTTTTAAAGAACTAAAACGTCGATCTTTACATACAACCTAAAAATATATTAAGCATCTAGCCAAATATGCAATAATCTATTATATATATATATATATATATAGTGATCGTTTTCATAAATTTTGCATACAATCATTTCGTTTACAAAGATTTAACATGTAAACTACCAAAACTGAACGCTGGTATATATCAAAAGTTATTTTTTCCATATACTAAATCGCTTTCTTAGCTTGTAGTGATCCATCCAAAGTTTGTGGGTTGGATATCATTGATGAGTTTAATTAAATATGGAGAAAATTCCTTATAAGGGAATCAAACATAAATAATGTACACATTCAGGACCGTCAATGTTTTCTTCCTAATATATGACTTATTCACTCCTAATGGTGGAAGTTTTATACTTTCAATAGGATCAAATAATTCACATTTTAGAAATAAATCACATATAGTCCTATTTGTGCATTTTATCTAAGTTTGAGTTCTATTTAAAGCAATTTCTATTAAATGTGTGGAGTGAACATATGCCCCCCTCGAAAACAAACATTGTTTCCCCCTCACAAGATTTCGTATAGCAGTAACCAAAGTACTTGCCTAAAAAAGGAGTAGAACATTGTAAAATTAAAGCTAAAATGTGAGAATATGTTTTCTATTTAGTACTCCCTCCGTTCCTGAAATTCTTCTCATGTTACTTTGGATCAGAGTTTAAGAAAGATAAATGAATGGATCATGAGAATAAAGTGATAATGTATGATTATGAATGAGTAAGAAAAAGATAAATGAATGTGGGTCCATAATACTTTCGAAAAAGGGAAATGGAACGAATTTTTCAGTACATCCCAAAAATGTACGTAGGGAAAAGTTTCAGGGACAGAGAGAGCAAATAGGAGTTGCCATTAATTAGCTAGGGTATAGGAGTCAATGTAACATGAAGAGAAATAATTAATTACTTAGATGTGGCATCAACATTAGTAACAATTTAAATGTTGAGCTTTACCTTCATAGAATGAGAAGTATATTTAGAAAATGTTGGGATTACACCAGTGATATTTTTTGGAGATTGCATTATATTTGTAAACAATTTTGATCTTCAGTTTTTGATTTATATATTCAATTGTAGGTGATTCTGAATTGTTTGACAAATGAAAAGATATTAAAGAAGAAAATCAAAGAAAAAAGGTGGAATAATTAATAATGACAGAAAAACATACCAATAATATTATGTATTAATAGGAAATAAAGAATGATATTACTACGTACGTATTCCGTATACACCGTACAGCCGGTTGTACCGTGCGCACGGTACAGCCGGCCTTTTAGTTCGCAGATCCAGCGTAAGCTTCCATCGCAGATTGATGTTCGCACTTCGCTCGCACTCCCCCTCTTCGCCAGAAGCTTTTACTTCGCTCACACTCCCCTCTTCGCCAGAAGCTCTTTGCCCGCCATCGTAAAAAAATGACTCGCCGGACTCGCAGCACCTCATACTCTGGACTCCAGCTTGGGTAGATGGTGGCTCTGATGAGATGTATATGACTAGTTGGACTCATTCTTTTTTTGAACTCTTCCTTTTTTCCTTTTTAGGTTTGATAGTTTGGTAACTTGTTTGGTTGCAACTTAGGAGAATCCCAAGTTATACATATTTGTACAGATATGCGCATACACAAAAGAAATTCTAAGCATAGTACACATTTTAAATAAGTTTTTTATTTTATTTTTTTGAATACTCATTTCGTAATTTATGTATACTCATTTGATATTAGTGCAATACTTGTTTTAAAATGTCATATTCATGCATATTTCAAAAGTATAATAATACAACAAGAGTCTAATTCGTTGCTAAGGAATCATTGTTCCTATTGATCTCAAATGAGTATAACTTCCAAAATGAATGAGCACACACAAATGAGTTTTTAATATTTTGATACTCATTTTGTAAGTTATGTATGCTCATTTGGTACTGTTTTATGCTCATTTTAAAAGATTGCACATGTTAAACATATCATAATCAATTAGATTCACATATTTAAAATGAAATTGATTATAAACATAATTTAAGACTTTAATAAACGAAAAAATAATAAAGATATATGAGGAATGAAGCAGATATTACTAATGCTCACCGTTAGGATCCTAATACTCAAAAGAACAGGCTCGGTACTCATAAAAATTGATTTAATACTCATTTAAGAGGATCCGTAATTTTCATCATAATTACAAGTTTGCCACCGGCTGTACGATCGGCACCGTACAGCCGGCTGTACCATATACGAATCCGTATAACATATGAATGAGCTTAATATATACGTAATCGATGAGAGGAAAAGGGGATCTTGGGCAGGGCAATAAAAAACGCGGCACAAACTCTTGAAGTATATCCCTTGCTCTAGCTACTTCAAGTCCTATCTCTATCTGGGAGTTTAATTTAATTAGAATTAGAATCCTGGCCGGCCATATATATGTATGTATAGGTTTCCTAAAACCTCATAGCAATAAATCTATTCAGGAATAACATTAAATTTATATGCCTATCCGAATCTTTTGAGCAATTAAGTGCGTGGTTCGTAGATTGATGATCTGAGTGGGCAGCCGGGTTTCACTCCGATCCGGTCCCTCTTCATTATTTACCTCATTTGGTACACTCATAATCGAATCAAATATACATACATACATACGTATGCTCCGTACGGAGTATTTTTTTGCTACCAAACGGGGTAATAATTACTGTACTAATTTAGTCAAAAAACAAAAAATACTGTACTAATTGAGATCGTTAGTAAAAAACATTCTACTTTCCTTTATAACTTTGTCATCTTTCCTTTATATTGTCTCACTAAAAATGTTTTTACTTGGTTATTTTCAGTCTCAAACCACGGCAAACTTAAACAAAACAGACCAAATCAAATTAGACTTAAACAGACTAGACCATATTTCCATAGATATAATTTATAAAATACACAGAAACTATACATTTATCAGACCAGTTCAAACCAGATCAAACCAAACTTAAATAGACCAGACCCGCAACTTTTAGTCCAAGTAAAAACATTCTAAGTTTGTCCCTTTAAACAAAGAATTTGTGGAGTCATTTTTATTTTACTCCCTCCGTCCCGGAATTATCTTCATTCTTTCATTTTCGGTCCGTCCCAAATTTTTCTCCTCTTTCCCTTTTTGGTAAAGAATATGTGATTCACAACCATTCTTACACATTTCTCTCTCCTCTGCATAACTCTCCACCACACAAATCCCACTATCTTAAAACTCGTGCCCGGTCAAAACAGGAGTTAAATATGGGACGGAGGGAGTACTAATTTTGTGCCGGAATTTTCCAAGGACAGATGGAATATATAGATAGATATATGCCTCTCTCTCAAGAAAAGATATTTCCTTATGTCCTAAATAAACTTCACACTTTCTTTTTTGGGTAGATCCAAAATAAACTTCACATTTCTATTTTTGGTAACTTTTTAATATAAACTTACTCTTATAACCTTACTTTATTGCCTACTTTACACTCATTTTATCTCTCCCACTGCGCATTATATTTTTTTAAGGATATGATGGGAAAGTCAAAAACAAAAAGGAAAATTCATGAAATAGGAGTAAAAAAGTTTGAAAATTCAGACTAAGATTGTCATGCTTTTATTCCCAATATAGAAGTAATTACTGTCAAGATTAGAAAATACTATCATATTTAAAGTCTGGAAAATACTGTCAAGTTTAGGAGTAAATTGGTCCTATTTTAGAAATAAAAAATATGATAATCCTGTTTTGGAATACACAAATTTTTTAGTACTCCGTACTATTTAAGGTAATTTTACAAAGCAAAACTTCTACTTTCTTAAAAAGTATTTCGTTCGTTCTTTTTTAATGCAACAGTCCACTTTTTACGTTTGTCAATGTGCAAATGTGACCATTAAAACTTTTCATTCCTTATTAGTAAAAAATTAAACAAATCAGATTTTGAAAATTTAAACTGAGAAGAATATAACAATATTTTTCTAAAATTTATAATACATTAATAAATACGTACTCCCTCCGGTCCTAAATAAAGTTCACACTTTCATTTTTGGGCCGGTCCAAATTAAAGTTCACACTTCTTCTCCCTTCCTTATTTGGCAAATTATTTACATCAAAACAGTGCAAAACAGTATCAAACAGTGTCACAACAGTGTACTCTACAGTAAAATCAAATTTATTTCTTTAATTTGTGTGAAATCAAACACTGAACTTTATTTAGGATCGGAAGGAATAAAATATAATCAAAGTAAAATATATAACACGTGAATAATGCAAAAAGTCCGATAGTCCAATAAGGAGGTAGTAGTACCTATAAAATTTATATATATAAAAAAATTATATAGAAGCGGAGGAATAGTTTGTTTGTGTATAAAAAAGGATAGATACTTGTATATGCCTAATAATTAGCTTCTGGATGATGGAATCCATTATATAGATAGATCATATCATTAAGCAGCGCAGTTGGTAGCTAGGTGGTGATGAGTGTGCAATGCTTGTATATAAATTTGGAGGTAAGGTGAAGTAGCTAGCTTAGCTTAGCTTAGCTTAGCTAGCTAGATGATGTTAGGAGGTTCATTTGGTTCATCGCCATCATCGTCATCAAGATCCCACGACAAGCAACCACAACATTTCGTCGATATTCACAATAATAGTAACCAGCAGCAGCGTCGGAATCATGATCAGGGCATCGGCTTGCGCCAGCTCCTCATAACCTGCGCCGACCTCATCTCCAGATCTGACTTCTCCGCCGCCCACCGCCTCCTCTCCGTCCTCACCACACGCGCCTCCCCTCTCGGCGACTCCACCGAGAGGCTTGCGCATCAGTTCGCCCGCGCCATCTCGCTCCGCCTCCACCGCCACGTCGCTGCCCCGCCCGCCCCGTCTCTCCTCCAGTCCTCCTACCTCGCTCTCAACCAAGTCACGCCCTTCCTCCGCTTCACTCACCTCACAGCCAACCAGGCTATCCTCGAAGCCGTCGAGGGTGGCGGCCAGCGGCAGGCGGTCCACATAGTGGACTTCGACATCATGCACGGCGTCCAGTGGCCTCCCCTCATGCAAGCCCTAGCGGAGTGGTACCCGCCGCCCACGCTCAGGATCACCGGCAGCGGGCGCGACCTCGACACCCTCCGGAGGACCGGAGACCGCCTCGCCAAATTCGCTCACTCGCTGGGGCTGAGGTTCCAGTTCCACCCGCTGCTGGCTCCCGGCGGGGATGACGAGCCCCCGCCGCTGTCGTCCGTGGTGCTGCTCCCGGACGAGACCCTGGCCGTGAACTGTGTGTTGTACCTCCACCGCCTGCTGAAGAACCGGGAGAGGCTCGGGCTGTTCCTACGAAGGATCAGAGACGAGATGAGGCCGAAGGTGGTGGCGGTGGCGGAGAGGGAAGCGAGCCACAACCACCCACTCTTCCTGAAGAGATTCGTGGAGGCGGTGGACCACTACGCGGCGGTGTTCGACTCGCTGGAGGCGACGCTGCCGCCGAGCAGCAGGGAGAGGTGGGAGGTGGAGCAGGTGTGGTTCGGGGGCGAGATTGCGGACATCGTGGCGGCGGAGGGAGCGAAGAGGAGGGAGAGGCACGAGAAGTTTGCGTGCTGGGAGGGAATGCTGCGGGGGTCGGGGTTTAGGAGTTTAGGGCTGAGCCCCTTCGCTGTGTCCCAGGCTAACCTCCTTCTCCGACTCCACTACCCTTCGGAAGGGTACCACCTCCGACTCATGCCCGATTCCAACTCTCTCTTCCTCGGATGGCAAACCCAACCACTCTTCTCTGTCTCTTCTTGGCACTGATAGAATCACATATAGTCTCATGTCCATCTACATACTATACGGAGTATATCATTCTTGCCCGCCCGCCATGCCAAAGCTTAGCTTCCGATCGATCATTCATTAAATCCTAGAGGCCAGGGCCGGAAGCGGACTCATAATGGAAACCCTAACCCTAGCTAAACCCTATTCATCTATCCATTGATTTCCTCCGATCTTGCCGCCCAAAGCAAACTTGCATGGCTGGAGATGGCATCAAACATTTCAATCGATTGTTTTTTGGTTGTTAATTGTAAGGTAAAAGTTAACTCGATCAAAATTTGAGTTATTGGATGATACCAATTTAAAGTGTATGTAATTAATATTATGGTGTACGTCTATTATTTATAATGAGAATAATTGTATTCTACCTGCATGCGGATAATGTTGATTACACATATTTTTTGTTGATATAAGTATACATCCACCAATATTCCTATTTTTGGATTTTCAATACCTTCCCTGATCCTATTTTTAGCATTAATGCGCAAATTAAATAAGTAGTAGTGTGTGTTTTAATAGGATTTTGGTCTTGAGTAGTTGAATTTCCCAGTTTGGCAACCCTCCAGTTCAAGACGTCTGCTAATGTGTGATGTCGTCATTGACTAGGACTTCTACACCATGGTCTCACTAGAGAGGGTGGGTGCTATTGCTAAAATCTTGCATCTGGAATTTTTTCCTTATTCCTTCCTATACATCGGTGACCATTTGAGCTACGGTTAAATACTATCCTCGATTCCGTTTTAATCGCAACATGTTGAATTTTACACTATTCACATGCTCTACTTTGATTATATTTAACGCTATTCTTTTATGAAGATTATTTTTTAAAAAAAATATTGTTCAATTCATCTCATTACAGATTTTCAAAAACTGATTTTTAATATTTTTTTACTAATAGAATTAAGATATAATTATGATCAAAGATGTGCGTTGACAAAATTGAAATGTTGACCGTTGCAACTAAAAAAGAACATACATTAACGTAACTGTTCAGCTATGAATATACCGGCCACAAGGAGTTGAGTTATGCTAAGATAGTTAGTATCTCTAACATGGTATGAATATAGTGAAGAGCCACTTTTTTTATCAAATATCTCAAACCCTAATTGGACATTACCTCTCATCAGAATCAATAGTGAACTTGCTCGATCCAAAAAAAGCAACGATCAGTTATTGCTTTGCTTCTCCAGAAGAAGAGCTCGACCTCTTCATTGCACCTTCTCATATCCTCATATCAGTGGCGCACCCAGAAAGAAAGTCTGAATCACGGGGTCCCTACCATTTTATATCTCTAATCTCTAATTAATTAATACAAGTATAAAACTAATAAAAAATTGCTCTAATTCTTCATTTACTAATGGCGAATCATTTGAATTAACATCTGAACTACTCCCGGTACTCTAAGTTTCTTTAAATTTGGGTACAACATCAAAATCTTTTCATCCTAAATCGTATAAAATTGAAAATAAGATTTATAAATACATGAATTTATTAATTTAATCTAACATTAAAAAAAAGATATGAAAGAAAAGCAGCAGAGAAAAAAAACTGAGTGACTGATGTGCTTATATTTTACACACCTTTTAGCCTTAGTTTGTTGATAATGTTTGTTATTAAAGTTGTACTTTTGTACATATTTTTATTATTTGTCGTTAATTTGTATTAGTGCAGTCCTATGCGTGTATTTTGTATTTTCTGGTAGATTTGATGTTATTTTGATACATTTAGCGTGAAGAAATGAAGAAAATAAAAGTTCAAGTTGGAGAATAACAAAAGTGAATTTTCCTTCGAAGAAAATAAGGAGTAAATTGGAGAAAAGTAGCAAAAATTAAGAACGGTGGAGGAGCTAGGATTCGAGCTCTTGTCATTTGGTCAAAGAAGGACATACTCAACCAAGGAGCTAAATGAACCAAGTTGAACTTTTGTTGGAAATTCGTATACATTGTTCAAGCCCAGCACTGAAAAAAGGAATAAAAGGAAGAGAGGCCATGTTTTGAACGTGCGACCTCATATTTAATATTTAAAATAAGCACCTATCACCGTTGCACTACTCGGTTCTTTTGGTTCTAAGGTTGTTTTTTTGTAAATATACATTGAATAATTAATTTTATATAATATATATATATAATATATATAGGTACTTTTTTCGAGGTGCACGGGGTTCCGGGACCCCATGGGACCCTTAGTGAGTCCGCCTCTGCCTCATATGACCTATGCCGATCTTCTTGGTTGCTGAATTCTAGAGGACATTTCTTGCTATCATATCACATGAGATTAGAACATCCAAATCGTATCTACTAGAACCAAATATTTAAATCAGATAAATTAATGGAATAATTTCTTAGTTTTGAACCTATTTCAAAACACAGAAATTAGCTCAATCGACTGAATGCGTTGAAATTATTGTGTCTAAAGTGGCTAAATGAATTGAATTCGCTGAATTATGAAAACTTAAAATATATTTTGTTAATAAATAAAGAAATAATCTATATAAAATTAGCTAAAACAAAGATCTACCGCAAATACAAACAATTCAACCGAAAAGTAATAACCTTACTTATTTCAATTATTACATAATTCAACATGCGAAATCTAATATTACCTCCGTTCTTAAATAAATGCAGCATATGAAATTTTACACTATTCAAATGCTCTACTTTGACTACGTTTTAAAATAGGAAAAAATGACAAAAATAATCCCACATTTCGCTGGTCTTCTCCTAATAATCTCACCTTTAGGTAATCCCGGAATAATCCCACCTTTGCACCTCATCTTCTTTCATTGGACCATGACCATGTTTTTTAATCTTTTTTTGAAAATCATATAAATAATCTTACCTCTCACTTGTCTATTATATCTTTATAAATGTAAGATTATTTATATAAGATTTTCAAAGAAAGGTAAAAAACTTGGTCAGGATCTAATCAAAGAAGATAGAGTGAAAAGGTGGGATTATTTTGGGATTATTTTGGGATTATTAGTGTATGTTGCCGTTAACTTTCATAAGGAATGAAATGAGGTTGAGAAAAAGGAGGGGCAAGTGGGATTAGTTTTGACGCCCGCCCACGCAACATGCACCTGTATGTGTGTACTGTAGGGTTTGTTTGCGTGCTTCTATATAAATTCTTACTAAATTAATTGATAAGATGGTACACGCATGGCAATGATTTGAGGGCTTGGCTGGTCACCTCGCCCTAACTCAATTTATGCTCCTTTATTTTATCAAAATGCCATACTTACCTCACACTTCATTCCACTTTAATGTTCATCATCATATCTCATATCTCATCTTTCTACTAGTCACTTCTCGGTCCCTTAAAATTTTGGCAAAGTTAACTGCACGGAGAATAATAAAGTAAAAACTTTATGGTTGAGGTTTGTACAGAAGATAGAAAAATAACAGAAACCACAAAATAATTAATTAAAAGAAAAAGTGACAATTTTTTGGGATATTCCAAAAAAGAAATATGACAAAGTTTTAAGGAAAGAGAATACATCATTGCCACAAAAGCAATTAAGAGCGATGATCGAAGAGATGCCTGTCAGCAGACACGATGAGAGTAGTAATATAAGGGAGGGAGGACGTAGGAAGCATCCGAATAGTCAGAAAGGCGTCCCTCTCTTTCTTTCATTTTATACCTGCCATGCCTTTATTTTTATTTCACACAATTACCAAGTACTGTACGTATTATTTACTCTGTAACTGATTAAAAATTATTTACTCTGTAACTAATTATTTTAATAATTAAAATAAAGTAAGATAATATTAGATAAATATTCTTATACTCCGTACTCTTTATATACTTCCTCAGTCCCGCTAACGATGGGACAAAAGGGAGTGACATGCAAATTTATAAAAAGTGGTTTATGTGGTTCAGTGGCGGATCCAGAAAAAATACTTATTGGGGGCATAATAATATCAATTAAAATAAATATATACGGAGTATTAAATACTATATACGGAGTATTAAATACAGACATATGAGTAAGTCGTCCCAAATTCGGATCCACCATAATTTGTGTAATTTTTAGCTTACTTTTCGTGTAAAAAAATAAAAATAATTACAAAAATTTGATTAAAACAAAAATTGTTTACAAAAGTGTGAATAATTACTAGAATAGTAATGGAATCATAGTGACTTGTGTTTAATTTTGCAACTTAAATTATCATGACATTACATTGTAGTAACTATTAGTCATATTTGTGTAAATAAATTTTATTTTAGTAATATTTTTGAAAAACCTCCAAAATAATATTGGCGAATTTCTACTAATCTTGAATAATTGTATGGAGCTCTAATTGTAGAACTAAGAGGGTTTTCAAAAATATTACTGAAATAATATTTATTTACAAAATATGAACAATAGTTATCATAGTATAATCTCATAGTCACTTAAGTGTAAAAATTGAACATAAGTTAATATGACTAAAATATTACTAAAATCACCATACTTATGATGTCACGTTTTATAAATAAAATTTATTTTAGTCATATATATGTAAATGTTTCATATATACGGTCAATACAGAGTATAATATAAGAAGGCTAGATCCATAATAATCATTTGTATTTCATAAATTCGCTTAATTAGAAATGAAAATGAAAACATCATGAGCCAAGTAGTACATTATTACTTCAATTCATCACCTAAATTAAATATAGTTTTATTTAATTTCATTTAATGCCTTATTTTGCCACCACAATTCCTCAAAAATTTGGTCATTTTAACTTTGTACAATTAGATTTATTTAAGATAATTAACACATTTTTAGTCATTCATATGATACAACTTAACATCACACAAATATCTATTGGGGGTATGAGAAAAATTTAATGGGGGCAAACTCTTCCTTTTAAAATTAAAATTGCAGAAAATACTATATTATTAATACATTATTCAAAGCTTATTGGGGGCATGTGCCCCCACTATCAATAAGGTAGATCCGCCCCTGATGTGGTTGATATTGAATTGATAAAGTAAGAATAAAGTAAGAACGATTTAAAGTCATACAAACTTTACCAAATTTGGTATGAGACAATCTTATTGGGATGGACCGATAAGGTAAAATGGGACAATCATAGCGGGACGGAGGTAATAATAAAGAGAAACAATATAATACTCTCTCTGTATTTTATTGTTCAGTACATTAGATTGGACACATTATTTAAAGAGTAAAGTAATAGGGGTAGTGAATAGTGTAAAAAAAGGTAGGAGAAAGTGTGTAAAAGTATGAAACAGAAGATAAAAAGTAGATAAAGTAAGGGTAGTTGAGTACGCAGTATCTTATAAAGGGTAAACTTACCAAAAATAGAAGTGTATGAACTTTTAAATACAGCTCAAAAAGGAAAGTGTAGGAAACTTTTAAAAAAAATTGCC